TAGTACAACTGTCAAACTACAGATTTTTTACAGGCAGGAAACTGTGAAGAGAGGAAGCTGCAGGGCTGCACACGTTCAGATGACAGACACAAGTGTAGCCTGTGGAGGTTCCTACTCATCCTGGAGCCTGAGGAGCAGGACTCGTATCCACTGCTGCACATTGAAATCAGGAGCTGACGTTGAACCACTGTGAAACTGTGTAAAAAAGAAAAAGAAAAAATGGCTTCCACAAACAAAAAGATTTTAGGAGGTTTGCTGCTGTAAATCACCTGCGTTGGACAACATTTATCTTTAACTTTTTTTTTCTCTCTCTCCCTCTCTCTCTTCCTCTCTCTCCCTCCAGTGTGACTGCTGTGCGTCTGCCCGACGGTCTATCCTTCGTGGTCTACGAGTTCTGGGACGGGGAGGAGGAGTGGAAGAGGTGGGTTTTTTCAATCACGGCTCTCTCTAAATGAAACATTTTAATCCTTAAAATGAGACTCTAATATCTGCCCCACTCCTGCTGCTCTTTGATTGTGTGCGAGTTGGAAACTAATTTACAGTGGGGGGGGGGGAAAAGTGTTAATGCATTTAAAATAGCTGTGACCTGCTGTGATATTAAAAAATGAGCCAGGATCAGTCAAAGTAAAAGCTGCACAGAGACGACTGCTGCCCAAAACTTTTATTCCTGTAACAGATCCAATTAATTTTTGAAGGTTTTATATAAAGTTTTTCCTCCCAAAATAATTAAATGCTCAGAAATGTAAGGCTAATATTCCTGCAAAATTAAAATGGTTACTGCAGTAATTTAAATGTCTGTCTTTTAACATAAAGGCATTTTACTATGAAGGTTTTATATGTAGAAACAGCGGCAAGGAGTATAAATGTTAAATAGGAATGTCCGATAATATCATCCCGATATTAGCATAATCATGTAATATCTGTAAAAATCGTTATCGGTTTTTCCTCCAGTAATAAAAACCCCATAATGCAATGACTGGGTTTCGTCAAATGATGTGTGACCTAAAAATATTTCTGGGGAAAAATGGCCGTATATGATAGTGAAAGTCACTAGATGGCAGCATTGCAGCTCAGGCCTTTAATAGTATTTCATTTTGGGAGAAGAATGAAAAACCCATCACCTTTGTGAGCGGGCTGCACTTCACTTCCTTAACCACCAGGGCACCACTGCCCCAGAATATCAGTATCGGTTTATATCAGATTCGGAAATGCACCAGGGCACCACTACTCCAGAATATCAGTATCGGTTTATATCGGATTCAGAAATTAAATGTTTGGACTATTATTAAACTAAAATAAATATTTCTTTATTACTAGGTCTTTACTAAATGTGAATTTTGTTGTTTGTTTTCACTGTCTATTTTTTTCACATTCCTCGATTAAGAAAAACAAACAAAAAAAAAACCTCATCAACACTTAATGAACAAACTTTTGTCCTCTCACCAACCGTTGAGCCACTATGGAGTCCGGATGGTTTAGTGATGATACAGTACTGCTGCTGCTCCAGCAGTCACATTAATATTTCAGCAGTTACAGTAAAGCCCCAGGCCGGGGCAGCTGCAGACGTGAGACTCTACTCAGTACGGGTTTTTTCTCTCCTCTGATTACAGACATCTCCAGTCTCCTCCCAACAAAGCCTTTCAGCATGTGAAGGTGGACACACTGTGCCAGCCAGAGGCCGTGTCTTCTGTCGCCGTGCCAGGTCAGTCAGGAAGTAGAAAGTCCGTCTGATTGGTTGTGGGATCAATTCTCTTTTTTCCATTCCTACATCAACTGTAAATATCCTGTTATTTTCTGTTAGCCTTGACTTTAATAATCATTTTGGGTGTTTTTTTTAACAGTACGATGTATTTATTATATATTATAATTTGTATTATATTGGTCTATTTTGTCACCTTTATTTCTTAAAAAAAAAATCAAGAGATGTCAAGCGGGACGGACCAGTACAATTATAACATAATTACCTATAAATAACAAAAAGTTTCCCATTTGAATTTATACAAAAAGTACATAAATAAATACATAATTAAAAAAAAAAAATATATATTTTTTTATATTCAAAATTCATCAAGTGGGTTGGGCCGGATCAGTTTTGGCCCACGGGCCGTATGTTTGACACCCTAGGCTTTTTTTTTTTGATCTGGATCAACTAGCCGTTCCAAGTGTTGAGGGATCAATTTAATAATTGAAATAAAAACAAAACAATTAAAAGTTGCCAGAAGATTGAGTGTGTTTTTTTTTTCAGAAATAGCGAGCTACAAGCTAGCAAAAATCTTAGCAAAAAAACGTAGCTTTGAAACACTCGTTATGTGAACTCTAACAGGTATTTCCCCCCTTTTCCTCCGTTGCAGCCGCCTGGTGCAGTGTGAACCGAGCCTGAGCATGAAAACACACCAAGACTCCTGGACGCTCCTGTACCTCCTCCTCAAGTCCCGTTTACACCTCCTAGAACCGTCCCTTTCCTCCTGCATCCCACCATCTCTGACCTACTCCCGCCTCCTCATCCTGTTTTTATCCCTCACTCCACCAAACTCTTTTGTAAGTACATGTTTACACAGCGCGAGTCATTGGTGTCGACTGCATCAACAGTGTGAGATTGTTTCAACATTTCTCCAAGTCACTTTTTCCAGCTCCAAGATTTTCAGATTATTTCACCTTCTGGTTTGTAAAGTAGCTTCGAGCCACTGGTGAGGCGGAGTTCGTTCATGTAGCACAGACCGCAGGGTTGAGGTTTCCATGTAGCAGGAAATGTTTTGAAGGAAGAAAAACAAACTAGAATTTAACACATAATACTATTGTTTGTAGATGTCACTTTTTTTTAATGACAATTTTTTTTTTAGGTTTTATTCTCACATCAGCCGTTTTGATGACTCAGCTGTAAAAAGGGTTAACATCAGCCGTTTTGATGACTCAGCTGTGAAAATGATTCAAACTAAATTATCAGGAAATCAAAGTTTATGTCTGAAATACCTGTAAATTAATAAAATTTAAAAAAAACGCACGGCCGGTACCAAATTATCTACAGACCGATACCGGTCCACGAACCAGGGTTTGGGGATCCCTTGTCTACATAATGTAAAGTGTTGGGATGATTATAAAACCCTGAACTTATGGGTGGAAAAAGTGACGATTGTTCCCTTTTTTACTCACGTTAACACAAATCCAAGGCTAGGTGATTCGTTAATTTTCGATTAATCTTCGTTTTAAGTCCTCGGATTTCCATAACGGCTGCTGTGAGAATAAAGTCCATTCAGATGTGAAGCACTTGTTACGATGAGGATGATGAATCCTGACCCTGAGCGTCGAACCTGCGTCTCTGTGTAGCTTTTTATTTCATTTAGATTTTCTATTTCCGAGCATTAATCTCTGACTCCTGTTGGAGTGGAAATGAAGAAAAAGAACTGTCGAGAGTCGAGAGTTCCTGGTGCTGCTCAAAAGACAGCTCCTCACTGTTCTCCACGCGGCTACGCATTCTTTTGCCTCCGCCTCCTGTTTGTCTGAGTTGCTGATGAGTCGAGTCTATTAGCGGTAGAGATCGCGGTAGAGATCGCACCTCTTATATTTGTATTTACCGACATCTTTAGGTGACAGTAGAGTCACTGTTCAGTGTTTTTGAACCGAGAAAACCAGAAACACAGACACTCACCTGAACCACACTGAATATAAAGCCTTAAACGCCATCACACACTGGAGGAGGTTTTTTTTTTTTTCTTTTCTTTTCCTTTTTTTCAGACTCCTACTGAGCAGGGAAGTGCCCACTTGTCGTCTTTAAGTGAAGGCTTTAGATTATGCAACATCAGTCTAGAGTTGCATTAACTTTTCGACGCACAGACGGCTTTAAAGGCTGCATTTGATTTATGCGCAGTGGGCTAATGTTGTACTTATCAGCAAAAAAAAAAAAAAAGTCTCACGCCACTTAATGTTCTTCTGCTGCTCAACCACCTTTACAATAATAACACGTATTTCCATCACCGTCCCAAACAGACGCAAAAATGTCGTGGGAGGAGAGGCTTTTACTTTTCGGTACAATGAGATCTGCATCGCAATTGACACCAACCGAATAAAAAATTAGGGACCGATATTATCGGCAATATTAGCATTAATGTGTAATATGTTCAAGAATTGTCATTGTTTTTTCCTCCGATATTGAAAACCCGATAACGCAAAGTTTGGGTTTCACCAAATTACATGACCTAAACATAGTTTTGGGGAAAAAAAACAGCGGTATACGGACCTAAAAATAGTTTTGGGGAAAAAAAAAACAGCGGTATACGAAAGTGAAAGCCACTAGATGGCAGCATTGCAGCTCATTTTATTAATCTATTTTAATAACCAGTGGAGTTATAATCGGACATCACTAGTAAAGAAAAAGTTTATTTTATCCTTATTCGGAGAGAAGACAGGACTTTGGTTCCTTCTAGTTTGGTTTAAGTCTTGCAAGATTGCAGCTCAAATTCTCGATATTTGAATGCCAGATGTGGCCCTTTAAAATCTTGTAATTGATGGCTAGCGTAGGCCAGATGATCGTTTATTGTGGTACCGATTTATGGAACATTCTTTGTGAGAAGTGGACGTAGGCGTCAAGTTGCAAAAGTGAAGCCCCAGATGTAGACAGAAGTTAGCTTCACTGGTCTTTGTTGTAACTCCGCATGAATGTAAGTTGATGAAAAACTCAAGAAACTTTTTCGTTTCATATATGACATCAGTATGTGCTTTTCCAAACGGTTTATGGTCTCGCTCGTTAGTTTCAAATCTTTTTCAGAAAGGAAACGGTGAATGTTTGACGTTTATGATTCAGGAGGAGATATGAGTGGAGTTCACCAGTGGAGTTCCTCAAGGTGCCGTGTTTGGATCCTGAACTATTCTCCATTTTAGCTTGAGGTGAACTCCAGTGGTGAACTCCACCCGTTTGTTCTCTTACAGTTTACAAAAGTGACGCCTCGTTCGTAGAAAGACTCGAGACTAGCGAGCAAAACCATGAACAGTGTCGAAAAATATAAACTGTTGTCATGAATGGAGTGAAGAGTAGCCTGACTTCTTCACAGCTAACCATTCGTACAGAGTAACGTTCAAACTGGTAGAAAACAATCTTGGTCTGGATTTAAGGCTTTACTTTTACAACCAGATAAATATGTTCGATGCTAATATACAGTCTGTGGTTTTAGTCGCTCGGAAATTACAACCTTCAATTCGAGAAACCGGATATTTAAAAAACAAAACAATTACAACCAATAACCACAGTGTACGGCCACGACACAAAAAAGTCGGACTCTCCTTCAGAAAGCACAATGTAAAATAAATGATTAAATATTGTGAGTTAAAGCTAGAGTGTATTAGAGGATACTGAGTACGATGAAGAGGATATATCCACATACATAGAGAATATTATTGTTGATCAGATTGATGAGTTGTGACTCGCTCGTCTAAAATCTGTTGATAGCTGCTTTCAAAGGTGTCATCGTATCCATCCGCCTCACTGTTGGGATCTATTTTCTCTGTTTCTGCGCTGTCTCCTGACATAACTGTGAAGATACAGCTGCGCTTATAACTGTGTCGGTGTTTCGAGCTGTGGGCTGCATCAGGCTGGACAGGAGAGCGAACGTGAGGGTGTGT